TGATGATACGGGTTAGAAAGTTACCTGTTACCTGTAACTTCGGGTGATGAGTCAGATGACCTTTCACAGGTAAATTCTACTGTGGTTTTAAAAGTACCCAATAGAAGTACGCGCGTGGCGGTGATCAACGATGAATAAATATGCCAACTTGTTTCTGCTAATTACGCCCAATTTAGATTTGCTTATATACATAAAATGGCCGTGACTTCAGGGGTAGGGAATTTACCAAAGTCAGTTACCACGACTATATAAAGAGGGTCAACTGGAGATTTGACCTATCATAAGTTTACAGAACTTGGACATACAGACATACATATACGATGCCGAAATCATTTCTTATCCGACCTAACCGCGATCTGAAGCGAGAACACCGCGCTATCGGTAAGCCTCTTGCCTTACTATATATATTTACTTAAGTATTTATTATATACAAATATATGCATGAATTATATGATACTACGTGTAGCTTAGATTAAAGCAAACCAGACTAACGATTTTATATTCAAGTGTTTACATCTATGTATATTATCTCTACTTGAATGTATGATACGCATATGTATGTGCTGCGTATTTGATTACTTTCGAATATGTTTATATGCTTAATCTCTTATTTAGAATTAATCATATGCTATATGAATTAATTTATTCGTCAGAAGTTATGATTTTGTAAATTACATGCTTGTGTTTGTTTGAAAAAGATAAGAGATACGGACTTAAGATGCCGATTTGTTCGTTAGATCGTTTCCCCTCAATAACCATGTCCGTGTTTGCGGTTTTCTTACATCCTTATACCATATACGATTGTTTGTGATATGCCATATCGTTTTATATGTTCAGAACCCGAAACTTCATTTTACAGACTTGTATTTCTCTAAGACTGTCGGATATACAATGTATATTTTCGCAATATCTATTTTGTTTTGCAAAAAACTGATTAGAAAACAGTATACACCTTTTGACATAATTGAACAATTAAGCATTATGGTTTTATTTTCACTGAGGTTTTTGAGAAAGTTTAGTAGCAAATACAGCGCGGAATGAAGCAACTTAACGAAGGTAATGGAGGTGACAGAACAATTAAAAAAATCTTCATCATTATTGTGTTTGATCATTTTAAACCGCATCAATATGAAATATCGTAATCTATATATTTATGATTGGAGAGTCCGTCAATGAAATAAGATACGGGACCACATGACGGAACATAGGTACGCGCGGTATACGGGAAAAACAAAATACCACGTGTTGACTTTTTATCAATGACCTAATCAACGATTTTTAAATTGGCTTTAAAAGTAATTGGATGTAGGTATCAATTTTATTATGTTATCAAACGAAAATTAGGGGAGAAAACAGAACGAATGAAAACCTCTTCAACAGGTTTTGCGAATCGCCTTATTGCACCATACTGTACATGTACGAGTTGACACACTTTTTTTTAAAAGTGTTTGAAAATTGGATTAGTTTTATCTGCCTTAAGGGAGAATTTACATGATATCGAAATACTGATAATAAAATAAAAACCGACAAATTTATAACAATATCTCCTGTTATATATTAAACAGAGAGATTAAAACGTAATTTAATTTGAAGACAACATCTGTACGGCGCGTAAATTACGTTCGTATTTATGATATACAAGGATTATCTGTAAACAGCGTTGATATCAAAATTGAATAATTCACTCAATAACGTGAAAAAGCCGGACCTGCTCCTTGGTGGTGTTTTGATTAAGATAAGATATAGAGAAAGACGGACGGTTTTCGTGTTAGGTTTAGTTGTACACCGATATCCATTCTGAAACAATTATTCTTATTTTCACACAAAATTTATCGAGTTTTACGTATAAAGTTACTGTCAAATCTCCCCTGTCACATCTTCTGTATATATAAAAGTATAATATACTGTTCAACAGATGTTTCGACGCACTGTAGCCCCTCTGTATGGGACAATTTCCCACCAACCGACTATCTAGATTTTCGCAGGGACTCTGCAAAAAATCCTACTCAAGCAATATTAATTCGTGAAACACTTTTGCGTGATATGGGTCTTTTCATTAACAAAAGTTTTTGAACTGAGGAAAGTGGGCGAGCAACGTGCCAAAATTTCAGAATAATGCAAATATAAATAGTTATTTTATTATTTTGTTAATTTGCAGTTCGATCCTTTGAATGCATATGGTTTGAATGAAAAATGAAATAAAGTTTATTTTGAATTGAATTGAAAGTAAACAGCAAATATGCATACAATGTGTAATGAAATTAATCAATTTTTGTTTTGAAAGTCATTGATGATGTTAATAATTAATGTTTGATTCAGTGATCATGAGGATATGCTTCGCGCCAAACTTTCAAATGCGAATATAAAAGACATGTATATGTATATGAGATAAAACCGTAAAAGTAATTTAAATTATTTGTTCCTTCTGCAATGTAATAATTGAAATTATTGAACGAATTTGTACATTTAGAAAGCATATTTTAAAACAAATATTCCACGCACGAGCAGAAAGCATGTGTTGATTTCATCATCATTTTGAACTGAATTTAATATTTTGTTTTATTGTATGAAATCGGATTATGACAAATTACTATCTTTCAAAAAATTAAGCAATGAAAATTGAAAAAAATATGTCCAAGATGAATTCAACGGATTTGTATTTTTATTATCGTGCTGTTTAAATAAATAATATTATATTAAATTATCAACAGGATGTTGTTACATATGCATTCGTGTATCTTCAATTTAATTTTTCCAGTGGGCTTAAAACATACTGTAGGGACTATATGTATTTTGTTTTCATTTCACCGTCCGCCGGATTGAAATGTCAACCGCTACTGTGTAAAAATAGTCTATAGCTATTACATGTAAGAACATATATATATATATATTAGGATGGTCGGGTGTCGCAGTGGATAGCGCGCTCGCCTCTCAATAAGACGACCGGGGTTTGATTTCCCAGTCGGATGTGAAAAGGTACTATGGGGTCACCAGTCCAACAACTTGTGTTTTCTCCGGGTACTCCGGTTTCCTCCCACATTAAGACCCCCGTCCGCTAACACCCGGGCCAACAAGTGATACATATAAGTTGATAGAACTTATGTCGCAATTGTTGCAAAAGAAATAAAGTTTAACTAGAAAAGAAAAAATAAAGTACATAGCTTATCAAAATATCATAATCTAATCTGAAACTATTTTGAACTCTTGGACCTGAAAAAACATTATACCGCTATTGAAGAGGACAGTACAACTATTGTCTAAACAGACATAAAAAACATATATTTGCATAAAAAATGTAAAATGTGCTTACAAAAAAATGTCAAGTAAATGTCACATGCAAATATATACTTTATTTTGTGATTTTTAAAGTGTTTTTAGTTTTGCATTTTAATTTTCTTAATTAAACATCAATTGACATCAATTGCCTGTTGNTCACGCCTTATCTGGAATAATTGCTCTGTAATTACAAAATAAACATGCGGCCCTCAGACTGTCCAGAGACTATCACCTTTATTGGTCTGACCACAGAAGCTGATGTTGACCATAGCTCCGGACACTGTCCACTGCTAGTCATAGATCACCAAACTCGGACATTGTTAATGGCGATTTATCCCCACTTCAAGCTCGGGGTGTCCGGTCACGAAAACAAAACGATGCTTAGTTCGGACCTCCGTGTGAATAAAATGGACTGGACAGAAGCCAGATGGTCAGTCCAGGTCCCTGATGGTCAGCATTGGTCATGTATGCCGACTTAAGTTGATATACGGGTCCCTGACTATTTTTGACCCTCTTTAACCATTAGTGATGGAACTTTAACATAAATATTATGAACTAATTCTATACTAAATCAATACTAAATGTATGTTACATGATAACGATTGTACAAGTTGAAAAAGCGATAGTTCCAAGAGCATGCATACAATAGATGGCATTTCGTCAAAACGTTCATGATCTGACATTTGACAGATACACTGTACCTCTTTAAAATGGAAAACAAAATAATTAAAAACCAATAAAAAAAGTCTGATAGCATTATAACAAATAGGAAGAGATAACTTATACATTTGAGGAGAATCCATGACGTCACACTATCGCAGCGCTCTAGTGACGTCATAATGACTTCTATGAAACCTGTAGGTGACGGGTCCATTACACTGCATAATAGCTCCAGCATGTAATAAATGTCATTATCAAAATAGATAAGAAGAAATTGTTTGTTAAAATGAAGCAAAAAATCAGCAAATAGATTGTTTTAAAATTGAATACTTAGAAACTGAAATCTAGCCTCTTTATAATATAATCATAAAGTAATTTAGATATGAAATGTGACAATTAGGAATTAAATTTACCTCGTGCGGGCTGCAAAAACGGGCGGTTTACAAGTACATGTAATTGTAATTAAATAAGTCATTTAATTAGTAATTGTCACAGCAGTTCTATAATTTCAATTTCATCTGTGACGTATTAATCCATTTACCAAGGCTCTCGGTGGTTTAGGCTATAGTTGCACATATCAATTTCGGCTACACCGCTTGTATATTTTATCCAACGCGCCGTTGTAAAGTATAGTTAGCTTTCAATGTTGTCAAAATACACAAACATAATATAACCGAATTAATATTTCATGTGAACAATTACACTTATTTCAATTCTAAAATGTATATTTATATAATGATTTTACGTATAACTTATCTACAAATGTAAAATGTAACGTGGTAATTTTTAGTGATAATTATCAACAATTTAACTTTTATTGAATAAGTTGGTAAATGTAAGCTGACGCGGTTTTATTAACTGGTGTTGGTAATACCCCCTTTAATTTAGTATCATGCGGTCGGTAACACAGTATCCAATTTCAGCATGAAATGTATGAGAGATTGTTTTTAGTTGACAATTATCGGCGACCACATACATCAAACCGAACTGGCTTGTGTCGGGCGATCTAATTGGTCCGCATATCATTAAAGGCCAGAGGCGGATTAGCATATACCCGAGTAATATTAGAATCGAATTTTAGTCTTTTACGGAATTACGGAGGAGTATAGACGGGCTTTAAAACATATAAATTGGATCTTTAGGAGGTGACCTAGGTCAACTGTATCAGCTTGACCAGTGTCCATACTGTGTATCTAAACTGTCCTTTAGTGGATTTTTCCGGTTAAGTGGGCAATTTTTCATCATCACCGCATTTAGACCCCATACATACCGGGGAAGCACTATTGAGGTAAGTTCTATATTTGTTTAACAGTAAAAGGCACTTAGCATCTTGAGATATACTATTCTTCATATAAAAAAAGAAATATGTTTATAAATATGACATCTGTAATCAAGCTAAATACAATATAATAGCGGCTAATTTGCCTCAATACTCTACGTATAGTCTTAAGTATCATATTAAATTAAATATCAATTCAATGACAATGTTGGAATCTTAATTTTAGAATATTTATATCTACACAATATTGTATAAATCAAACTGGGCACATTTTATTCTCCTACCAAACATAATTGTGTAAAGATATTTCATTCAGTTCAATTTGTATTACTCACAGTTGATTTAAAATCTGACAAACTTTGAAAGTGGTAAATAATTATGGTGTATTATACGAGTTTTTATAACCTATATAATACATGTATTTAGTCATATCAAACCAAAGTAAATATAGGTGTTTATTGAACGAGTCTCCAGTTTTACAATCGCCCCAAAAACATAATGAGGTCAATTTCTTCACGAATTTATATGTCATTATAAAACTCGATTGTTTCCGAGATGATATTTGATCAAAATGTATTTTATAAACTTATTTGAGATTTTTGATTATTAGCAACTGATTGCTTAGTCAATTTGGAATTTTATAGACAAATTTGAACATTTGAAGACTGCAGAGTGAAACATATCTCGTATCATTATTAGGGTTAATAGATGTTGTATTAATTAATATAAGTTGTTCTAATTAGTTATTTAGTATTAATTTCTTATGAAGCATTCTTTTTTTTCAACAATTGACCATAATTACAGATGACCAATAAGACTTTCGTTGAAAAATTAAATCAAATTAACAGCAGATATTTCATTTAAAAGTTACACATTCGCGATATACATGTTGGAAAGGTCACGATAGCAACACACCCCTTAATTTTTTGACCTCACCTGGTATACAATATTACAATTAACAATTAATGGCCAAAGTAATTAAACAATATAATTTGATCTGTTAAACTTATTGTTTGAATATATTTAGAGTGCATTAATTCTTAATTACTTTAAACTTTGCATTAATTCTTTATTACTTTAAAGTTTTCGGTTATCAGTACAGTGCATATAAACAAACGAATGATACAACACACAGACCATGCCATGCATACACGATCAATGAGAGCAAGTGTGTATATTTGAATAGACTTTTCTGACTTTGTCTCAGAAAGTTTGCTAAATTTGACAGATCTTAATCATTCGTCGTTGTCATCAATATAAAAATGTCAAACTAGGTTTACAATAATTTAATTTTAATGAAGGAGTAGGATGCAGTGCAATGATTAGTTTATCTTATAATCTTTATTAGAACACAGGGGTTCGGAATGGAAATTTACAAAATAATAAATCTGAGTGACAGACGTTTTATCTTCATATTCTGTATTATTTGTCGTCCAAAACCTGTGATAAGAATTCTCGCCGATCATATGATTCCTTCAAAGGTCGTATGAAATTAATATTATAGCATGCACCACTGTCTCATATATTATATACAAAATATTGAGTCTATTTTAGAATATTTCAATTTGATATCAAAGGGAATATTAGGTGTCGGATCAAGACACGTTATGATTTTTGAAACATAAACCAAAAAGCCTGTCGTTTCTTTGAAATCATGGAGATCATAATTATTGTAAAATGTTGTAGTTGTATCATTCCGTTGATTAACTTCTCCAATCCCTCGGCAAAACACAAACTCACTACCCCCCCC